ATGCATGCAGAAAATATCTGATATTCCTGAGTAACGAGGCAGAATCTGTGGAAGATGAAGGAAGAACAGCTGTTTTTCTCTCCTGCAATGCAAAGCATATATTTTTAATTGAAAAAGTAAGTTTTATAAGAGTGGGCAGGTTTTTCTTCTATTCTGACAGATTTGGTCTCTATATTGTAGTGCAGAGATGACTGATAACCCCCTTCATAAAATTAGAAACCACACCCCCAGACCATCTGGCATATTACTTAAAGAAAAACACTACCCAACATGGAGCTTATCATTGTATTCAAAAAAGAAAATCCAGGCCAATTTGTCAGAGCTGCATGTCCGATACAAGAGAAAGCCCTGCAAAGGCAACATGAAAATTCTCTGTTCCTATCAGAAAACAGGGTCTTCATAATAATTTGCTGTGTTTGGGATCCATAGTCAGCGATGGAGTTTCGTTGGCGTGACAGTGAGCAGAGTCTGACCCTGTTTAAAACAGAAAGCACGCAGGATCCCAGGAAGTAGGCAGCTGTAGCGTGCAGAGTACAGTTTTACTACTAACAGACTAAATCACCGAAACGGGGGCATTTCCTATATTCCGCCTGTGCAGTTCTCTTTGGCTTAGCAGCGTGGTTTTTTCTCCTCGCGCTTCACCTCTCCCATCTGTCCTGTGGGAGGTAGAGTTCATTTCATCACCTATTATGTTTGCCTCCCGCTGGGAACAGATTTTCCCCCAGTCATCTCCCTGCGTGGGGAAATGCAGGGCTGAGTGTGCTTCTTTGCATGGTTTAAGGGCATCAACCACAGGGTCACCTTAGGCCATGTGAATTTAACGGCCTGTGATTAAGAACTAGCAGAGCAGCTTTTGTTAAGTGGAGAAGTGTTCTAAATTAACAGTATACTTTCCCGGAAAAGTGTTAGGTGGCTGCAGAGCTCAATCTATTGGAAAATCTTCTGTTGACTTTGTGGCTTTTGGTGCGGTGCTCAAATTAAGGCTGTTACAGTGCAGTGTGTTGGCTTTTCCTTGCGCCTCAAACATCGCCAGAGGTGGGCATCTGCCGTCTGTGTCCTGTGGTTTTCCTGAGACAGATAGAGGGAATACTCCTTCTCCTTGACAGTTGGTTGATCACATCTAGGTAAAGGGTAAATTAAACAAAACAGGATCTTGCAGGCTGCTACTTACATTTCCTTTAATAGATCCAAGTTGAACACTTAATGACATCTATCTCTGCACTTGGATGTCAGAAGGGCATCTTTTGCATCAGCCAGAAAGAAGATCAGACCAACAGATTGACGTTGCCTTGGGCTTTCTGGCTCTAGGACCAATTTGTAGGATGGACCGTTTCAGCTGTACCTTACATTGAATTCCTGAAAAAAGGAGAGAATGAGAATTTCCTAAAGTGCTGCTGTTGGTACTAGAAGTCTTGGACCTACCCTTTTTAGGTGCCCATCAAGGTGACATCTAGAAGGGTTTCTGTTAAGACTGCATGTGTTGGGGATTGTACCTCAGATGGAATTGTTTGGGAAGGAGATGGCAATGTGAAAGTGTAAATTGATAAATATAAAAGAACAGTAGTCTTAGGATGCTTTTCACATGCTTATTTAGTGGGAAGAGTAATCGCGTATTGGCAGAATGTTGCAGGAACTCTGTGATTTATACTCCATGACCCAGTGGAAAAATGCCAATCTGACAAAAAAGAACAATTTCAGCTACACTAATGGATTGACCAAGGCTAATTGTAAAAGAGTTTTTATACCCATCATTGATACGTTGTCAGTACATAAAAGATTACAGAGAAATTTCTTGATCGGCTGCCATGAAAACATTTTTTTATTATTAAAACGTTAAAGGAGAGCTGCGTTAATGTGGCTCCCTGCAGCATCCTCCCATCTTCACTTAGTGACAAGCACTGTTCAATTTCTAAACTAAGAACCACCCGTTTGTAAGCTTTCTGCTCTAAGCTTCATTCTGTGAGGCGCTAAGCACCCATAACTCCTGTTTCCTTTGCTAAGAGCTTATCCTTATTCTGCAACTTTATGCTGCTAAATCAGTACATTAGGGGAAAAAACTGATGCAAACTAGGTGTCAGGCTTCTTTCAAGTCAAACTAGAGAGTGCTGTTTGTAGTTACCGTAGCATCGTTGTTTTAACAAAATAAAGTCTTCTGGCCGCATGTCCAGAGTCAAGTGTGGGTTTCAAAACTGACTTTCTGATTTTTCAGTCCTGCTCAGGCAAGACTCCTGTTGACTTCAAGATTGCTTGAAGTGCAGTGATTTTCCCATTGACTTCATTGGAAAATGGAATTCCTTCCAAATGCCTGGGGGGATCAGGGGGACACCAGGTACCTTTAGCATTGTAGCATCTTCTGGCTTCAGCCGTGTGCTGCATAATTCTGTTTATTAAAAAAACCCACATCGACGCTGTGTCGATAGAAATAATACATTTTGTGTTGCATAATGCATTGAGGTTTGACTGGAACTTGTTTTGCAGTCTGCTGCGCTAGCTGTGTAGATCTCTTTTCTTAACCCCCACAGCGAGACATGAACTTATGAAATGATCTACATGCCTAAGATATGTAGCGAGACAGTGAGATACAGTATGAGCCAGAGGCCTTCTTCACCTTAGAAATCATCTTATAAGCAACACATGCTCCTCGACGTGTCATTTTGCTTTATAAACATGATGATAGAATATGGCTAATTGCAGCTGAGTTGAGCAGTTATATATAAGCACATGGCTTAACATATTGGTTAGCTGATCATACTATTCCTTTAGTCTTACCAGTTTCTTTAAACAAGACAGCAAGAAATCAGTCCTGTTAGAAGGGAGCTATGCCAGCGTGTTGAATGTGGGATTAGGACCTGTGGCTCAGGCTTGCCGTACGGCTGGCATCATCGATGGTTTCTCTTTTCAGCAAGATGTCTGTGCCCACCAAGCAGTTTGGATTAGAGGCATTAGTTTTGTGTTTAATCTTTTTTAAACACTGTTTGCATGTGGACAGAGATGCTTCTTGCTCTGAGCCTAGCTTGGATCTTGCACTGAGCAGAATTCATGCTGCTTTCTTTTGAGTATCACTTCATTGCCTCAAATTGAGGGGGAGGTTGTGACAACTCGAAGCTGCCAAAAAGGAGGTCAGTGTTAAGGTGTTGGGTGGCTGAGTGCTAGGAAGCAGAAGAGGGCTGGAGGAACATCGGAACGGATCCTCGTTTGCATAACGCCATTTGGGGTCAGGTGGATGGCCTGGTGCCATTGGAATGGGATGCAGGAGACCTGGCTCCGCTCTCCAGCTCAGCTGCAATCTTCCTGTGGGGTCTCGGGCAAGCCATTTTGTTTACCTCACTGATGAGTTTTCTGGAGTATGGGGTACAATAAAAGCAAAAATGAAATTCATTAGCCGTGGCTGTGTTACGTTACAGGATTGGGACTGCAAATAAGGCCCGCTATCAGCTAATCAGTTAGGTTCCAAAATTTCCCATCGAAATCGGTGGGAAACAAGCACTCTACAGAGGAAGTAGGAGCCAACTTATTTGGGTAGATTGAGAGTCTGGATTTCACACTGACTTGTCTGAGACGAGGATCTGTTCAACTGATAAGAAAAACAGACAGGACCAGTGGGTGATCCTGGCACTACCTCTTGGACCTCCCATTTCATCTTCTCTTAGCTACCTGTGATAGAATTTTCCAACAAGTGAAGATAAACCTCGAGGCACAGAGCTCTTTCTAAGATGCTGAATGTACCACTGTCTTCATGTCTTAACCAGGCTCTGCAGGTGATTTCACAAGCTGCATGCTCTTTAGGGCAGGATTTCTTGGACGGAGGAGAAAAGGAGTTGGTTGGTTTGTAGCGCGGACCCTTACGATGTGTATTACCAATAAAGCTGAGAATAAAACAAGTTCCAGGGTCACAGTCAGCTGTGCATACGAAACAAACTGTGAGTGCGACAGTGCAGGAGACAGGAGCGTAGGATGTTGGTAGCTTGTACAGAGCGTAGTTGAGAATTGTGTAATAGCCATTTACATTTTTTAGTGCACATCACAGTTTTCTTTGGAGCCGGCAGTGAAACCTTGAAACTCTCCTGTGACGTTGCAGAGGGCACTCGAAGCAGCAGAGTGCTAAAAATCTTAGTTCTGGTGTACTGGAATCTGTATGCAGTCCTCAGTTTGCTTACATCTTCCTGATCCCCTGTTTGCAGATTGTGCTTGTTGTTTTCAGAACCCCACTGCATGGGACACGACCTGGACTGCTTCACTTAACAAAGCCAAATAGTTGGAGCAGTTATTGTGTTGTTTTTTATGATAAATGAAATGCCAAGTTTTCCATCTTTGCTTTTTCTCATGGCCCTTTAACCCATGTGGTAGGCTTATTTAGGGAACAAGACAAGCCTGGATGCAGTCCCAGAGTTTGCAGTAGCTTCAGATGCCCCTCCAAAGGTTAGGATACTTCACAGGGGATTTGTTCTGCAACAGAGAGGCTAAAAGGAAACCCATGCTCGTTACTTCTTGCTTTTGATTCTGTCCTAGCACTGCCCTGAAAACCAAACAAGGGAAAATTTACAGAGGCAGCATTGTTGCTGTTGGGTTTGTAATACCATATTTTCTACTGTAGCCTCATACCAGAACTTCAGAAAACTTACAAGAAATGTTTCACGTGAAGTATTATTGTTCTTATTTCTACACCTTTCCAGTAAGAAAAGCTGAATGCTTTTCACATAGAATGCAGCTGTTTTACTTTAGATACGGGGCTGTGTCACAGAGTGTGCACTGTTTCTGGGGCCTTTCAGTAAAAGGGATGTTAGATTTAGATTGTACATGCTTATACATGACATTTAACGTCTCTGTCTTCCCTGCCTCATGCCCTTGCAGTTGCATTGACAGGAGTTACATTAGACTAATTGCAGCAGGATTTGGGCTTGTGCATATGAACAGCACAGATTTGTAAGTGTGAAACAGCACCGTAGCGACATCGATGCAAATAACGTCACTGAGTTTTAACGTTTTGTTTCCTGTTCTAGGATATGATGATGTTTCAGAAACAAACTTGAGATCTTATAGTGTTCATTCTGCTAAACATGTGCAAGAGAATCGTCCTGTGCCCATTCGCAGAAAAAGAAGCATTGGTAAGAAACAAGTTATTTGTACTTAGGGAGTAAAAACGGAGGGGGTGCTTTTGGTCAGCCAAGCAGGACATTTCACTGGAAAACTGTGACACACACAAAGGAAAAGGGCCATTTCTAGTTTCTGCCTTTCTTTTTGCACAAAACGAGGCATTGCCTGAGAAGCTGTCTTCTGGAGGATGTCCATAGGAGACAGACAAGCACAAATTCTTTACATTCACTTTCTTGTTGCAGCATGTTAGAAAGCTAGACCTTGGTTGCAAAATGCTGTGATATTCAATGTATAATTCATAGTGTGGGGAACAACTACAGCAGTGTGCTTCAAAAAACATCAACAGTTGGTACGAGTTTTCAGTACAGAAGCTCCACAAAAGGAAACAGCTTGACTCTTTATTCACAAGAAAAAAACCAGTTTATCCAAAAAATTAAAAGCCATTGACGGGAACGCTGGGGCATTGATTTCCGTCATTGTGTAGGGCACCAGGCATGTTTACAGGGGATTTTGTTCTTACTAAACAATAATGATGGTGATCCAACAGAGCCCAAATATAAATTTAAAGAGATGCTAAAGAATTTTAGAATAGGATTGGTATGCAGTGCTTGTTCGTCTGAATAGATCTGAGTGTTTTCCCACTCCATTTGACTGTGGAGAACGTCCATGATCTTATCTGTTATAGGTAATTCGGAGTCAATATGTTTGTCCTTTAAGCTCTGGTGGTACTCTGGAGATAGCACAGCATGCTGTCAGCGTGGATTTGCAGTGTGAATTGGCAAGTGCGCTTGTCACATTGAATGCCTCTAGAGAACAGCGGTTCTGAAACAGTCTGCTACACTTGGCACCTTACTCTGCAAGGTGTTGAATGCCTCCCCATGAAAGTCAGTGGGAACTGGATATGCTCAACAGCTTGTGGGAGTTGCCATCTATCTTGTAGTATTGTATCCGTTAATTTTCTTGGGTCCATGGCATTGGGGATTGAGAAGAAAAATTTTCACTCTGTTTAACTGACTGAAATGCATCTCTTTCAAAAGTAAGCCTAGATTTTCATGGTACAGGCACAGGCCAGGCCTGAACTTCTTGTACTTCAGAAGTAACTGAAGAAGTGCAGGCAGTAGTACTGTTTCCTGACACATGTAACCCAAAGCTATCACTGCTTCCCCTGTAAGGCAAAAAATCCAAGCTGCCTTTGGAGAACTTATCATCAGACAAGTTGTCCTTGCAATTGCTATTATTTTCTGGACCGTTTTGAATTATCAGCTTGACCTCTTAGGCAGTCCCTGGGTTGAGAACGATACGTGGTTTGGATTTTCCATGGCAGCATCATGCAGCAGTAGAGCTACTGTTTGTGATCCTCATGTGGCTGAAACCGTTGTCTGCAAGCTCACCTTACCTGAGCCCCAGCGGGGTATCAGTTTAGTTGCAGGTGTTTTGATCATGCTGCTCCTGTGGTTTTGCCTCACTAAAGAAATAACAAATTAAATAAAACCCACCATGTAAAAAGCTTTGGCAACTTCATTCGGAAAAAATGGCAGTTGCTTTTTGGGATGGCAGATGGACTGGACTCTCTGATATGGGGGTGTTAAGGTTTTGGAAGTGGAAACCCAAGACTTGAAAGTTTCGATATGGCGCAGATTGTTTCCCAGCTCAGCCAGTTTGGGTGTGATGCAGATATCCTCAGTGCAACTTCTGTGGTGATATTTGCCAGATATTGTGTGTTTCTGTGATAATATGTGTGTGCAGTGACCGGCCCAACGTTGTAAACCAACAGCTAACGTTACGCAGTCCCTGTGAGGCTGTATTAGAGGATCGTCTAGTCTGGAGAAGCCTAATGATCTAATCTGGCGTGGTGTCGCTTCTAAAGAGGCAGGGTTGTCTTATCTAATGGTATGTGCTCGGAGCTATGTTGGGAGCCAAGCTATTGTAAATCCTCGTTTTAGAGCTTGGCTTTGGGAGGGAGTCCAGCCTCCCCCTAGGGTAGCACACACAGTGTAGTGGTAGGCAAACAGTACTTGGCACCGACTTGTCAGTAGGCAGTGGGAACTGAGAGCACCATCTCAACCCCCTAGCTAAGGCTGCCACTCATAAATCGATGGTGTAAAGTATCTGGGTGCTCTGAGGTGAGAGCAGCTGCTCACCTGGAAGTGTGAATTTCTTGTGTTCGCAGAGGAGGCCATCCCGGCTGTCTGCAAAACACGGACGGTTATATACGAGATACCTCGGAGTCAGATTGATCCCACCTCTGCCAACTTCCTGATATGGCCCCCCTGCGTGGAGGTGAAACGTTGCACTGGCTGTTGCAACACCAGCAGTGTGAAATGCCAGCCATCGCGGATACATCACAGAAGTGTCAAGGTGAGCAAATCATGGCTGCAGAGCCCTAAGAGGGTCCTCTTAAGTCTAAAACCTCCAGGTATTCTTGTGGCTGTTCTGTATGACCTGGATCTTTATTATCCATCCTCACAGCCGCAGGATCAGGTACAATGTCCCTCTCCATTTTCAGTGAGCAGATGGCCTTTTCAAGTTACATGATCATTGGAAAATCTTGGGTTTGGATTTGATTTTCACAGGATTCCCTTTAGGTTTTTCTTCTTTTGTAATGAAAATAAAGTTGATTGTGTCTTTCCCATGATCTTGCACAGCACAAATCTTAAAGTTAAGAAGATAAAATGACTCAAGGGGCATTGGACTTAAAAAAATAAATAACTCACTGTGTGGAATGCTGTTTTCTTAATTAAATATTATGCAGCCTAAATTGGGCTTTTATATTTGACAACATAACACTTTTGATCTGAAAAAATGTGTTTCAAATTATCTTACCCCAGGGACAGAAGACTCAATGGCTTCATGCTGTATTTACTCATTAGACAGAATCCCCGTTGCAATTTTCCAGTAAATATTACGTGAAATATTTCTTATGTTCTTTCAGCTTCACTGTGTTCTAATTTTTATCAGTATTTAAACAAGTAATGTTGATTTACATCTGCGTGTAGGGGATTAGACTTACACTTAGCATTTGTATTGTTAAGACTCTGCGTTCTTGTTGCCCTGAGTATTTTAAGAGCAGGATTTAAAAAAAAACAGCCCACATTCTTGAACATAGAGTTGCCCAGCACAGCACACTGATCGCTGTACTTGCAATGAGCTTCTTCGTGAGCAAGGTGCTGTAAATCCTAAACACAAAATAAGGCATCTTAAGCCATTTCATTGTTTTTTATATGCCCAGGCACACATCTGAGCAGGATTTCTTTTTTGTTTCTGAACATCTGAAAAATATTTTCACCCCCAAATAAGCTGGAGAAACATCTGAACAGATTCCCTCAGTCTTTCCAAAAGTAATTGTACTTTATACTTGCTTGCTGCCCTTCATTTGTGGGATATGCTTTGCAGAAACAATTAAAAATTCAGAAAAATTTGGGATCAATAATTATTCGAAGGCTGAGAATAAACTGGGGAAGTTGAAGCACTACGGTTGTAAACCATTCAGAATAGGAGTTAAACAGCAAAGTGCCTCAGGTTTATAATATCTAGTGCTGTTGCCTTTGGATTCAATACAGCTTCCATTTAATTTTGTGTAGCAATTAATAAGGACAAAGCAGCTGGAGATGTCCAGCAAAGAGTTGAGCCGTGTATTGTGAACTTGCTGTTGGTACTTGTGTGTGACATTGCAACCCTGTGCTTGCTCCCTGCCCCTGCAGCGATGGGGAGGATCAGAGAGACAGAGAAAGGTTTAGCAGTCGAAGTCCCCTGCTGCTGGGGACACCGAGGGTTCCCTAGAAGCTGCAAACTCCACAACTGGCAGCAGCTTTGCAGGGGCTGCTTCCCCAGCGCACCACCACGTTAAAGAAATGTTAGTTTTTCATTCAGTCCGCTGATACGGTTTTAGTGCTTTTAGATTTGCATTCATTTTAGTAGAGCATAAGCTAAAAGTACACTCAGCTGAGCAGCTGCTTTTTGAGGCTGTGCAAATATATTGCCACCAGCAATATCAATATATGTCAGCCAGCTTTGGAGGACATTTTTTTTTTCCAAGCTCCAAGACAGCTCCAAACAGTCATTAAGTAGAAGGGAAAGAAAGGACAAGAGGTCAAGCAGGAACAGGATGTTCATTGTAAAGGTTGTAGGCTGACCCCACTGTCACACCAGAAGTCTCTGAACAGAATCCATATTTAAACCCTTCAGAGTCAGATCCTCTTGTAGCTTTGATATAATTGATGGTTTTATGGGCCTTTTGCCAGTCCTACGTTCAGAGATGAATGTCTGCTTGTGCCATTAAGTAGCTGGCCCAGAGCGAGGGTCGCTGGAAAGGTAGGGGGAGCGGTTTTGGAGAGCCTTCTCAGCTGCTCCTGCAGTGCGGTTGGAAAGCCGTCTTGTGTTTTCCCCTGATGTCAGCCTGCATAAAAGCCCTCTTTTGATTGAACATTGAAAAGGCTTTCCCCACTTCCTCTTCATTGACAAGGTAGTGAGATCATAGCTGGCCCATTCACACTAGAAAAATGTTCATCCAGAAAGGTCAGCAAGTGGGTTTGCATCATCCAACAGGCGAAAGCAAAGGGTGTTTTCTTTGTTTTACTGAGGGCCACTGTAGTCGAGGTTAAGAGACGGCTGTGGCGGTGTGGGAGGAGCAGCGGAGGTGCTTGTGTTGGGGAATTCCATTCTTGGGACATGATTCAAAGGCTGTAGGGTTCGGGGATGTCCTTACTTTGCCTTCACTGAGCTTTGGTCAGTGAAGTGCCATTAAGGGGCTTGTGGAATTGGAGCTGTAGGGAGGCTCCAAGCCAGGGGTGTTGGTGGAACAGCTTCCCCGAAACAGGTCCTTTAAGATTTTCCTTTCATGGCATAGGTTAGTGAAAGGTAGGTTTGCCCTGCACGGTAACAGAGTGAGCTTATGGGAGCGCAGCTTCCTGGTCCTGAAGCCATCTCTATTCAGCAAACTGTACCTGTACAGCACTGCAAAAATCGGACTGAAATAACGAGGCTGTTTGGGAGTTGCTCTTTGATAGGAAGGAGAGAATTGAATTTCTCTCCTGCTAGACTAATGGTGACAAGGATTGGTGAGAGGGGTGTTGTCTGTTACAGATGTATTTCCTCCCCCATCTGCAAAACCATTTTAGTAATATCTGCAGATTCTGTTGCTTCCATGCAGCGAGATCAAGTATTTACCAAGTACCAGTTTATTTGGGAGGTTTCTGAACGGAGTCTTCCTAGTAGGTTTTTTGTAACGTCGAGCATGATGTTCTTAGTTTTTGGTCACAGCAGCAAAAATACCGTTAATATTATAGAGCAAATCCTGCCTATACTGCTTATTTTGAAGAGCCAAGCTGAGCATTATGTTTTTTTGCAGCAACGCTCATTACCAAACTAAGAAACAAGAGCTAAATCACTGCATATACCTCAGCTTTGCCTTCTGCTTGGCCTTGGGCCATAGCCATACCAGCTTTAGCTGTTTCTGAATATTCAATGTTGAGCTGATTTGGGGCAATCTAACCCAGTAAATTCTGTAAGAGGGAAAGACAGAGAAAAAGAGCCAGAAAGGAAGGAATGCAGGAGCAACTCCTCAACTGTCATCTGGGAGGTGTTCAGAGAGGTTTCGAAGAGAGATGGAAAAAAAAATGTAGGAATTCAGAACAAGTTGTTCAGCAGAGCTACCCAGCCTCTGAAGAGGTTAAAAAGGCCTTGCAGAACAGATTGCGCGTGAAGGTAAAATGGCTGTATGTAATGTTTGCAGGTTTAAGAACATTTTTCTTCAGTGACTGTTTCTATCATTAGGATAAAGAGCACTTTGATTTTAGCTGTGGCTTAACTGGAGATTACTGCCAGCACTTAGTGGGACCTGCCGGCAGGACCAGCTGACAGGTATCGAAGGCCAATTTCAGAATGGGAGAAACAAGGGAAACTCCGATACGGTGAAGACAAGACAGAAAACCAGAGGCGCCCTCAGAGCGCAAGAGAGGACCCCTGCCATCACACGCCGCCTGGCAGAGGGCGAGCTCTGGCTGCTCCTGCTCAGGGAGAGAGGACCTAGAGACCCCACAGCGGCCTTCCCACCCCGCCCCCGAGGCGGGGGTAACGCGTTTGCTGCAGCACCCTCCCGCTCTGCCCCGGGACCCTTCCTCCGGCCCTGGCTGAGGCACCGCCAAACCGCCCCCTGAGGCTGCTACCGCCGCCGGCTCACCCT